GAGCTAGATGGCCACTTATTTACCTTCAAGCTTTTAAGACCCCAGATGCTATATCTTTGATAGCCGGGCACCATCAGCTTTCTTCACCGCATTTGCTTATGCACTCATTTGTCTTCAGTGATCGTATTGGGGAGGTGAGCTCACAATGAACAAGTTCCAGAGTCTCTTTCTTTCCTACATCTTTAATAACCCTTTTGTCTGATGTTCTTTATATTATCCCACAATTCATCAGGTCTTTGGTCCTAAGAGGTTGATGAGTCAAATCTTGAGATGGACCCTAAATTCTGGTTGGATATACCCAAGGTCATATTTGGGCTCTGGTGAACTTATTTTAATTTTCTTCAGCTTCAACTGAATTTACCTATGAGCAGTTAAATGTGTGTTCCATGTTTAGTCACATCTCCTCTTCTCACTGAGGTCATAAGCTTGATTTCGGTGTATTCCATCTGGTGAGGTCCACATGTAATGCTGTTGTCCAATGATGTCACATTGGTTCCAACTTATAGCACATTGGTTCTGACTCATAGCAACCCTATGTATACCGTAACAAAACACTGCCAGGTCCTGTGCCATACTTAAAATTGTGCTTATGTGTGAGCCCATTGTTGTAGCCAGTGCGTCAATCCATCTCAGGAAGGGCTTTCCTCTTTTTCACTGTTCCTCTGCTTTACCAAGCATGATGTCCTTTTCCAGGGACTGGTCTCCCCTGACAACATTCCCAAAGTACATTAACCAAAGTCTTGACATCCTTGTCTCTAAGGAGCATTGTGACTATACTTCTTCCAAGACAGATTTGTGTTTCTCGTTTTTTTGCAGTCCATGGTACTTTCAGTATTCTTGGCCAGCACTACGTGTATAGTCACCATTTATGTTGTTGAAAAAAGATATTTGCAACGAAGACTTAATTTGTCTTGCAAAATTGTATTGTGTTATGTGATCTCCAGCTACATTTCTTTCACTAAGATCATATTTTCCAACTTCTGTTCTTCCTCTTGTTTCAGATTTTCACAGTCCAATCACCAATTATCAATGCAATTATCAATGCATCTTTATTATATTTTAATAAATCTTAGACTGAAGAAGTTGGTAGCATTTTTCAATTTCTTCATCATTAACTTCAGTGGTTGGTGTGCAAATTTGAATAATAATTATATTAACTGGTCTTCCTTGCAGTCATTATATTAATATTACCATAGACAACAGTGCATTTCAAGATAGGTCTTAAAATGTTCTCTTTGACAATGAATACACCATTCCTCTTGATTTTATCATTCTGGTGTAATAAGCCAAATGATTGTTCTATTCAAAATGAATAGCACCCCATTCCATTTCTGCTCACTAGTGCCTATAAGTCTCATTGGTTATGTGTTTCATTTAATTTATTGCCACCTTGAATTTTATAATGACTGTTTACAGCTGTTTCATCTCATTTGGTGTCATGCCTCACCAGCAAACGAATGTCTCAAAACCTTTGCTCCAAAGTAGTCGTAAGGTTGATTCTACTTCGAGTAGTCTTTCCCAGTCTTGTTTGGAGTCCTTTCCAGCCTGGGGGGGTTCATCATCCAGCACGGTAGCAGACAATGTTCTTCTCAATTCATAAGGCTTCCAGTAGCTGATTCTTCAGAAATGCATTGTATATTC